AAAAAAAAACGCTATTTTAGGACTCCATTTGGGACTTGCAGCAGAAACAGTCCAGGATCGAGCACATGAGCTTGTCGAGCTTCGGCATACAGTTGTCCATCTCCAATCGAATCCAGATGAATCTGCTGAGCGACACCATGGTGTTGAACAGGATTTTGGACTATTTGTTCCCACATAACATGGCCCCTTATATGCCCATGGAAGGCGTCCATCATAAGTATGAAGTGTCCAGATTTAAAACCCTCAACAACTCAAGACCGACGTGGTGGATCTTTCAAATTCCTACTAAATTTTGACTACAGGCTTTATGAATTAAAAATAATGCTTTGTTCTAGAATAACTCCTACCGAATGGGTGGATGTGGATGAAACTTTAACCGGCGCATTGGGAAACTTAACCGAGCATGTAACCAGCAGGTTTTTACAGCAATACTACTCCCAAGTGCTGGGATTGCAGGTTTTGGTAAACAGCTTCGACCGGCCGGCTGTTGTTGAGGTAGCAAACGGCTGACTCGGAAAAAAATCAATTGACTAACGAACGAACCTTTGAAGACATGGGAGCCTTATGCTTCCCAGTCAGCATCCTCTGTTTTATTCGCTTGCCAGTGCGTTCTGGGGCACATCTCAATGTCGCCAGCTGCATGGGAAACCTGCATTTTGGACGTTTTCCCCAACTTCAACCTGGAGAGCTGCAAAACCAAGCCCAGCAGGAAGAAACAAAAAAACGCCGAGGAAATCCTGCCTAGGGTTGTATCGAATTGCGGAAAAAGCTTCGAAGTGGGAGTGCCGATAGCTCTGGCGCAACTCTTCGTCAAGAACTACAACGGTAGGTTAACCATGGCTGAATAAAACTGATCATCTTCAGCTGCTCTTCCAGTCAGCATTCAGTGCGATGGGGAAATGTTTTTCAAAACGTCCGGAAAAGCGCTGTTTTCCCTGATAACCAGGCATCCGGACGACAAGGCCGACTGCGTGGAATTGGCCAAAGAAGCGCTGAGAAGAGCGCTGGTTCTAGGAGAACCCATTCGAATCCATCAGCGCCTCACGCGTTACAGGAACGTTTTGGTAAGGCCACCAGGCCGCTGTAAAAGAGTCAGAAAACTCACAAATCTTTGGCTTCAAGGGGCTACTGCCATTCTCAACGCATGAATCCATGGGGCAACATCTGCTGGAAACTGTGGGCAACACGCGATTTTCCAGCGACAGATACTGGGCCCATGTGCCGGTTGATCGCACAAAAAAATCCATCGTTATAGTCTCCTTAGAGTAATGCCAGCCCAAAAAGTAGCTGACTATATTCTACTCAAAACTTGCCTTTTTTAGGCACGTGATTCGCGTCAACAAATCCTCCCTATGGGGGCCGTGGGAAATTGAATGGTCCGTTGAACTAGACGACATTATTTCTTTGCCGAAAATCAACCAAGTGGAACTGACTCTGAATTTGAGACAGGTAATGGGGGAAAGTGGGGCTTAAGGAAAAAACATCTGATTGGTTGTAGACCGAGACCATTCCAGACCAGCAGATTAAAATAGTGGGGCCCCAAGAGATACTGGGATGGCTGCACGACAAAATCGAGCAAGCGATGATCCTCAACATGGAGGACAAATCCTGGACGGTGCACGATGCAGATTAATTCACTGACTTGAGTAGTTGTTGAACGCTTCAGATATTTATAAATGTACCACCGAACCCGGCAAATAAAAGGCAGATATTTTCAAGAAACTCTTGTTGAATAGGGAGTTTGATTTCTAAAGCCACTTTCCATAAAAATCGTTACTATATATATTATTAACACAAAGTGCGGGTGGAAACCAAATAAACCTGCTGATCCAGCAACTAGTTCAGTGCCAATTAACCACAATAAAATATAAAAACGACTCGGTGTTAAATCCCGGGCTTTAACCACATGCCTAGATGTACTTTGAATGAGGCTTAATATACACCTGCTCTCTTAACTCAATGATTGCTGGGCAGTTGTGGTAAGCCGAATTCATCCACGGGCACGCCATCCTTTAAAAAAACATTGCCGATTAAAAAGGGAGGTTTCATAGCGTTTGAATTAATCGAATGGAAGGAGGACGTGAGGTTCTAAAGGATGGACCCATGGGAAAACTCGCTACTAAAGCAACAAATGGGCACTTACCTTGTTTGTTCTGTTGGCAATGGCATCGGGCTTGGTTATGGGAGCGTCTGGCAATTTCCCAATATCATCCAGGTAGCTCTGATCGTCATCCAAGGCTAATTCATCGCCTAAAAAGTTGCAAAAGCGTCAGCTTAAATAAATAGAAAACCGCCCGCCGGAAAACTACCTAAAGCATCGAGTTCTGCAGCCAATTCATCATCGTCCAACTCTGGAGTGTTGTAGCTCCTGCCCAGGGCCTCTTGAACTTCGTCAGCTTGATCCAGCATATCAGCCAGTTCATCTTGGACATCCTGAAAATACAGGCTTTGCTCTAGAACATTCAGGCTTTGCTCTAGAACCCCCAATACTCACATCAATATCATCAATATTGATCTTCTTAAAGTCCCGCTTCATGGCTTTCATGCCGTCTTTCATGGCAATTACAGTAGTTTGGGTGTCTTTCAACGTTTGATGAGCAAAGTTCGCTTGTTCCATGTTAAAGGACTGGCCCCTATTGAATCGAGATGAACAGTTGAAACATTCGTGACCTAAGCAAAACAGTGTTTCTCACCTGAGATTATCCAGTTGATTCTCATACAATTTCTTCTGCTTAAGAATTCGCAATGCTTTAGCTTTGACTGCGTTCTTGGCTGGTCCTTCTCGCATCTTGGACATTTGCTCCCTGAACTTCCGCAGGTCGTTTTCCAAGACATTGATCTTCTTTTCGACGCCCTCAGCCCTGGCGTCCACCTAAGACAACAGTTAGTACAAGGCGGAATTTGGGGCCCCCTGGCTTACCCCTGCAATGCAGTCCGAAATGTTGGGGCCCGGTTCCTTAGGCTTGCCTTTCCCAAATAGACGGTTCATTTTTTGAGGGGTTTTTGCCAAATTGCCTCAATTTGATGACTAATTTATCAACAATGTTCGATGATAATAAACAAATGTCAAATGTCAACCCAGTAGTGACAGTTCTACCATTTTCTTTTTTGTTCAGGCTGTGAGCGCGCAGTTGTCGCGTCTCTTAGCTGATCGAAGAAGTTATGTGCAGGCTTGCCAGGTCTACCGCTTTTCGACCAGCAAGCAATACAATGAGTCACCCAAAGGGCCAGCGAGCAAACGCTCCTATCATTATGTAAGTTCTGTAGGTCGGTGCGTTTTTTATGTGATAAACACCTTCATATCGCATCAGTTTTATCGGAAAGCTGTGCATTTACTTCCATAGATGAAAACAACTACTTGTTACTTCAGTTGAAGAACTTGTTACTGTTTACTTCAGTCTATTATCGGCAAGGGACTGAATCGGTCGTCGGTTTTCTGTTCATAAACGGAATAAAAGTACGAACTTAGTGCAATTTAGGCACGAACGGTCGACCATGTTATCTATTAAATGCTGATTAATTTATATAATAATTTATTTTTAACTTTGTGCGGATTCTGACTGTGTGTTCGTGTAGCCTGGGTTTTTTGAAGTTTAGTGGATAGACAATGGAAATGGAGCGCAAGTTTGCAAAAATCAGGTAAGCATTATTAATCTAGAAATCCTTAAATTTAGTTGAGTTTTCGAGAAACATTTAAAGTTTTATTCCGTTTTTCTTTCCAATCAAATCACTGGGTCTTTGACTAAGTTTATGTAATAATACAGATTTTCCTTTTTTTCCAGGTTTTTCCATTTATAAAGTGTTTGGGTCAATAATAAGGAAGATATCGGCGGCGAAAGATCGTGAACTGTCAAAAACGCTTAAATTGTGCCGAAAATCTCTATTATTTCCGATCTGAAACTTCTAGCAGGTTTTTCAATGAGTTCGATGCATTCCTCGCGTCCGTGAGCTGAAAATAATGTGAAATTTTAGATGACATTTTGAGAAAATTTTCATTTTTTCAAAAAATCGACCACCACCCTTTGAAACATTTCGACCAAAAATAAAAAATTCACATGCGTGTTTTTTGAGCTCAATCGATTCCTTTCGACGCAAGAAGGTCACAAATGTGCATTTATAAAGTGTTTGGGTCAATAATAAGGACGAAATCGTCCGTGAGTTGAAAATGATGAAAATTTAAAACATTTTGAGAAAATTTTAATTTTTTCAAAAAATGGACCCCCACCCTTTGAAAAATTTCGGCCAAGAATCAAAATTTCACATGCGTGTTTTTTGAGCTCAATCGATTCCTTTCGACGTAAGAAGGTCACAAATGTGCATTTATAAAGTGTTTGGGTCAATAATAAGGACGAAATCGTCCGTGAGCTGAAAATGATGAAAATTTAAAACATTTTTAGAAAATTTTAATTTTTTCAAAAAATCAACCACCACCCTTTGAAAAATTTCGGCCAAAAATCAAAATTTCACATGCGTGTTTTTTGCGCTCAATCGATTCCGTTTGCTGAGCGCGCTCGTTATCATATTTTGTGATAATGAGTGTGTCAACCACAAAATATCCCCCCAGGGTATGTTCTGTGGTGTCAATTAGTGCCATAGATAAAGACAAGTAGCTGAAAACAGCTGCCTACTTGACGGTGCGAAAGTATTGGTGCCGCTCATATTCGCCTCTCTCTCGATTAAGCGTAGATTAATAAAGACAACAGAACCGTATTCTGATAAATTATGGTAGTCATCCGCTAATCTAACCTGTATTTTTTTGCTTTAATCCTTACCTACCCCACTTGTCAATTGTTTAGCAAGCTGTCAGTGCAGTTGTATGGAAAAATCTAATTACAAGGAAAATGCTCTTAAATAATGCTGGTATTCAAATACGATAAACAAGTGTTCCTGTTCACAATACGCAGAAGACGGCTATGCGTAGCCACGCTCATAGTGTGCGGTATATTCATTTCTTACCAATTTCTGATTCACTATTTTTTATCAAATCAAAAGCCCAAAAGCAGGCCAGAACCAGAACTAGCCAGGATAAGGGGTAGTCATGTTCAAGAAGGCCTGTTTTATGCGCCAGTGAATGGCAAATTCACCTGTATCAAGAGTGGCGAAGTTATTTCTTTTCAGCAAGTGAATGATAACTACTGTGACTGTGCCGATAGTAGTGATGAGCCAGGAACGAACGCCTGTCCTGATGGTAACGATCATTTTCCTTGCGGATTCATCAATTCAATTCCATGTTCTTCTCAGGATTGTTCCACTGTGGAATCATCTCAGCGAACCCAAAGTATCCCAAAATGGTCCCTTCCAGTAAAGTAAACGATGGCATCTGCGACTGCTGCGATGGCTCTGAAGAGTATGAAGTACAGCATTTACTAGGTTTGTAACATGTTATTTCAGCCCGAGAAATGGCCAGTTTAATGATGAAATAGAACACACTGGTTGTTGTGCGGTTTTACAGTCTTGTTGCCAAGTCGTTCAATAGCTATGTGGAAAATTGTGTGATTTTCAGGACAGCTCCATCAAAGCAACGACCTCTTCGCTGTGTGCCCGAATAAATGTTAGTTTTTTAGGAATTAGGCATACAGTGGGTCTGTCCACACTTTTCATAATGAAGAAATCGCACGCACTGCGAAATCCTCGCTCTAGCTGAATAAAACTCAACAAAACATTCAACATCTGATGATTTTATTGGAAATTAAATTAATTTAAAAAAATACACGATTTGAATGAATACACTTCTTAGAAATTAGAAAACACCATTATGTACACTGTATGTAAATAACGTGATTGGTTGTATCGGACAAACAATCTGAAGTACAACCTACCAATGAATGTAAAGTGTGATAAGTTCAAACGCAAAGTGCGCCTTGTAGCCGCTTTTACGAAATAGTTATTTTGAAAAATGCTCGTTTTCCTTGAAGATGTTTAAGTGTCAGTCTCATTAAAACTAAAAATATGCATAGTATTAAAAATTATGATTAACTTTGTGATAAGTATAATGATCTAAGTTTGATGAAACCTAGAAGTGAAAATGCCTGTTGCAAGCTAAGGACACCGTATTCGCGCGAATAACATTGGGAAGTTTGAATTGGAACGTTTAAAAAGGTATCACATTAGTACGCTATTAAAGTGAAATTGGGAACATTTCGTAGATATTATTTAACAAAAAAAAAGTTTTGCACTTTGCAACCGCGGTTTCTCAATCCCCAATCAGTTTAAGTCTGGAGTATTTGGTGCGCACTGTTCCCTACTTTCGGATAGCATAAGTAACTTAATTGAAGTAAAAATGATCCAATGTGTGCAGGGCAGTTATAAGCCTAAAGACCCTCATTCAGCAAGCTTGCCACATGGCCACTTTGATACTTTTAATTGCTGTCCCATGAGTTTTAATTAGACTAAGTTTTTTCCTAAACACATCTTAAGCGCCGCACATTTTTACCCTGTTCACACAGTAACAAACCTACTCTTTGGACATGATTGCGCGTTTCAAGAACCAGCGGTTTTCGCTGTTGGGGCGAAAAACACATACTGGAGGGGTTTTCCCAGTAACTTCTTCCTCCCTCACTGCACATTCGTTTAACTTCGAAAACTTTATACTGGCTCAACTGTCGATGAAACCCTCGCTTTCAAACATTTTATGTGCTGACTGGCCGTCCACTCAATTGGACAAACTGAACTTAATTTAAAGCTGCCTTTTATTAGAATCCATAAACCTTCACGTTCCACGTGCGCGCCGTAGAGTACAACTAGCAAAGGATATTTTTGATTCAATGGACGACTAGTATTATAAAGCAAGTGGGATCTAAATCAGTTAAAATAGCCTTAGCTAGCCTAATATTCACAATTAAATTATCGCTTCATAAGTAATCTATCAAGATTTAACAAAGACTTGACAACATACCGCCAGGCCACTAGGTTTATACATATTTTAGTTAGCTCGTGGTCTTTGGAACATCATCAGATCTTTGACTGCATTTCAATACTTGTCAACATTCAATATTTAATTTATTAATTACAAATAATAAATAAAACAAACAGGAGTTGCAATCTCCGAATTTTGTGTACAGTCGAATTGTGGCAGTGACTAACTTGGCAGTAAAGACTGTGATTCATGCATCCGTTTGCATGGGACACGGACTTTACGCACTTAAATCTTAAATAGGACATTTTGTATGCGGATTTAATGCTCCGTTTGTGAAACTATCACATTCTGTCAAGTTATCAAGGATCAACGCGCTAAACAAAATGAATGATCATCGAGCAGAAAAAAAATAAAACACACAGAAGATGATAAAATCACAAAAACAGATCAAGTCATACCTTGACCGCCTCCTGGTCCTTCCCATTCAATCAGACACTCTAATTTTCCGGTAGGCCCTATTCGCTTCGCTCTCACTGTAAATCGTTCACCTGCAGCTATCCGGTTTACAGCCCCAAAGTACATGTTAACCGATGTCTTCAAGTCCTCCATGTCGATATCCGGCTCAGTTTTCACTGGGCTGTGCTTTGGGGTTGGTTGTTTTGGGGCCGCTGATGGCGGAGGCTCTTTATCGGGCGGTTTTTCCGGCCGCTGCCTTAACCGTCGCACGTGGACATTCAAGGAATAATCCAACGAATTGCCTAGACAAAAGCGACAGTTGCTCGAAATCGAACTGGAATAGATCAGATATTTGCTCACCTAATTGCGCGTTTGTGTCTGTGGATTTTGCTGGTGTCACAGTGGCGGTTTTACTAGCAGTTTGGCCGATTCCGTAGTTCGACACATTGCTGCGATTTCTTCTGAGGCGTTTCTTTCTTTTGATTTCTCCATTTGGTCCGACGATGATATCCTTTTCGCTCAGCTGGCGCTTCATAGGTCGCATTACGGGTTGGCCTGCAAACAATTTGATTTTTTCACGTAAATTCGACAAAAGTGGCTCATTTTCCAGTACAGCCCAAAAACTTTTCCACTGTTAATGTTCAATTAAATATATATATAAATAATCTTTATTTCCTATAGAAAAAGGCTATCGACCCAATCGGTCTTTCTGCCCTTGAGTAGTACATATGTGTCCTAGCTTATTCTAAAATTAATTCCTATTCCTAACACTGGTATAACTTAATCAGTGATAAAAAAAATTCCTGGCCTACAAAACAAACAGGTCTTAGTCGTTAGTTCAGTTGC